CAATCCAATATTGAATGGGGAAGCCACGGGCTTTTCAATCCAATTTTAAAGGAAAACCCCCTGGTTTTTCAACCCCAATATTGAATGAGGAATCCACTGGTTTTTTCAATCCAATATTAAAGGGGGAACCCACTGGTTTTTTTCAATCCAATATTGAAGGGAGGAAGCCACGGGCTTTTTCAACCAATTTGAATGGAGGAACCACTGGTTTTTAAATCCAAATATTGAATGGGGGAAGCCACGGCTTTTCAATCCAATTTTTAAAATGGAGGAAGCACTGGTTTTTTTAAACCCAATATTGAATGGAGAAGCCACGGGCTTTTTAAAATCCAATATTGAAGGGAGGAACCACGGGTTTTTTCAATCCAATTTTAAATGGAGGAAGCCACTGCTTTTTCAATCCAATTTTGAATGGAGGAAGCCAGGGCTTTTCAACCAATATTGAATGGAGGAACCCACTGCTTTTTCATCCAAATTAAAAGGAAGACTGGTTTTTTTCAATCCAATTTGAATGGAAAAGCCACGGCTTTTAAATAAAATATTGAAGGGAGGAAGACCCCACTGGCTTTTTCAATCCAATATTGAATGAAAACCCCTCTTTTTCAATCCAAATTTTGAATGGAGGAATCCACTGTTTTTAAATCCAATTTTGAATGGGGAAGCCACTGGCTTTTTCAATCCAATTTTGAGGGAGGAAGCCACTTTTTTTCAACCCAAAATTTTGAATGGAGGAACCCCACGGTTTTTTTAATCCAATATTGAATGGGGGAAAATCCACTGGCTTTTTCAAAAATTTTTAATGGAGGAAGCCACGGGTTTTTTAAATCCAATATAAAATGGAGAAGCCATTTTGGCTTTTTAAATCCAATATTGAATGGAGGAAGCCACTGGCTTTTTCAATCCAATATTGAATGGAGGAAGCCACTGGCTTTTTCAATCCAATATTGAATGGAGGAAGCCACTGGCTTTTTCAATCCAATATTGAATGGAGGAAGCCAATGGCTTTTTAAATCCAATATGAATGGGGAAGCCCCGGGCTTTTTCAATCAATAATGAATGGGGAACCACTGGTTTTTTTCAACCCAATATTGAAGGAGGAAGCCCGCTTTTTCACCCAAAATTGAATGGGGGAAAGCCACGGGTTTTTTTCAACCAAATATTGAATGGGGGAACCCATGGCTTTTCAACCCAAATATTAAAGGAAAACCACGGCTTTTTCAATCCAATATTGAATGGGAAAGCCACGGGCCTTTTTAAATTCAAATTTTAAAGGGGAGGAAGCCACTGGTTTTTAAATCCAATTTTGAATGGGGGAAAACCCAGGGTTTTTCAATCCAAATATTGAATGGAAAACCACTGGCTTTTTAAATCCAAATGAATGGAAGAAGCCACTGGCTTTTCAATCCAATTTAAAAGGAAAAGCCACTGGCTTTTTCAATCCCAATATAAATGGGGAACCCAGGGTTTTCAACCCAAATTGAATGGAGGAAGCCATGGCTTTTTCAAACCAATATAAATGGAGGAACCACGGCTTTTTCAATCCAATATTGAATGGGGGAAGCCACTGGCTTTTTAAAACCAATATTGAAGGGAGAAAGCCACTGGTTTTTCAATCAAATATTAAGGGGACGAACCACTGGCTTTTTCAATCCAATTTTGAATAAGAAGCCACTGGTTTTTTTAATCGAATATTAATGGAGGGAATCCACGGCCCTTTTTCAATCCAATTTTGAATGGGGGAAAAGCCACTGGCTTTTTCAATCCAATATTGAATGGAGGAAGCCACTGGCTTTTTCAATCCAATATTGAATGGAGGAATCCACTGGCTTTTTCAATCCAATATTGAATGGAGGAAGCCACTGGCTTTTAAAATCCAAAATTGAATGGAGGAACCCCTTTGGCTTTTTCAATCCAATATTAATGGAAAAACCAGGCTTTTTAACCCAAAAATTTTGAATGGGGGAAGCCAGGGGTTTTTTTTAAATCCAATATTATGGAGGAAGCCACGGCTTTTTCAACCAAATTAATGGGGAAGCCACGGGGCTTTTTCAAACCAAATATTAAATGGAAAAACCACGGCTTTTTCAACCAATATTAAAGGAGGAACCCACGGCTTTTTCAATCCAATATTGAATGGAGGAAGCCACTGGCTTTTTCAATCCAATATTGAATGGAGGAAGCCACTGGCTTTTTCAATCCAATATTGAATGGAGGAAGCCACTGGCTTTTTCAATCCAATATTGAATGGAGGAAGCCACTGGCTTTTTCAATCCAATATTGAATGGAAGAAGCCACTGGCTTTTTAAATCCAATTTTGAATGAGGAACCACGGGCTTTTAAACCCAATTTTGGAATGGGGGAAAAGCCACGGCTTTTTCAACCCAAATTTTTTTGAATGGGGGAAGCCCGGCTTTTTCAATCCAAAATTGAATGGAAAACCCACGGGTTTTTTCAATCAATATTGAATGGAGAACCCACGGGTTTTTTTCAATCCAATTTTGAATGGGGGAAAGCCACGGGTTTTTTCAATCCAATATTGAATGGGGGAAGCCATGTTTTTCAACCCAAATGAATGGAGGGAGCCACGGGCTTTTTAAAACCAATTTTGAATGGATGGAGGAGTGGCTTTTTCAATCTAATATTTAATGAAAAAATCACGGCTTGTGAGCCCAAATTTCCGAGCTAATAAGCACTGCTTGAAAAACTTTTTCCTAGAGAGAGATACGCAAATGTCACACATATGTCTGATTTTTTAAGTAATAAAACCCATTACCCCTGTGCCCCCAGGGTACCACAGGGGCATTCAAATTCAGGGGATACAACTTTTACACTTTTGTCCGGAATCTGATAGTATATCTACCGCGAAAACGGCGATCCCACCGGGAGTAAAACACATACCCCGCTGCGTCCACCCATCTCTGCAGCTCTGTCAAAAAAAAAGAAAAGAAAAAAAAAAAATGACATTATTTTTTCAATAGAGTAATGAATTAAATTTAAAGGGATTTTGTAAGGCTTTTTAATGATTTTTTGGGGCTGAAAAAGGATAATCTAAATTTTCGTTATTTCCTTATGGAAAAAATTTGTTCGATATCGGGACTCGAAAACCCCTTTTGGGAAAGAATTAAATTTTAACTCGAGTACCCCAAAAACTACTATATTTTAAAAATGTGACAGTAAGTCCCTGACTTACAAAAACCTTTGAGCACTTCTGTATTGTTTAAAATTTATTATTTTTATATTATTATAAACACTCAGGAGGTATAGGGTGCCCCAAAAAGAAAAACATCCATCATTCACTCCCTCACTGTCTTTTCCCGAGGTGTACTTACACTACAATTATAAAACTGCAAAATTTAATAATTTACACAATTCAAGGGGTCCCCAATGTGTCTGTAATTTAGGACTTACTGTATACCAAGGGGTTTATTTTTCCTTTTGAAAAATTTAAGCCTGACTCTTTCCTTCCTTATGTGCGTATGACTCCAACTGAAATGTCCTTTTACCTTATATTAATTTAATATAACCCAAATGCTAAACCTTAAGGGGCATACAGTGCGGTTCCCCAATACAATAAAAACTACAGCAAACCCCCCCATCTGTGGATTCAGTTTTTCCCCAGTTTTTTGGTTAACCATATTTTCTGTGACCCAAAAATAACCCTTAATTTTTCCTAAGGCTTAAATACAAAATAGCGATGGGGAAATTTTCAACCCAAAAAAAAGCAATGAAATGTTTCCCATCGTGAAAAAATGATAATTTTTGACTTATTGTGGTATTTAAAAATTAAAAAATTAGGTGTGTTTAAAAAAAAAATCAACTTTATAGGGTTTTTCTACTACCCCTAATTTCAGGCATCCGCGGAGGTCTTTGGGAAAGGGATCACCAGCGGATACGGGGGAGACTACTGTTTTATGAAGGATTTAAACTTGTTTCCGGGGTGGGAGTACAGTCCTGCACTCTGAAAGGGGGGCAGGGATATTTGGAGCCTGGGGAAAACAGTTTGGGGTGAGTGTGGTAAAATGTTTCTTCTTTTTCCGGTCCCCCTGCCCTTGGGGGGAATAGCCAGTGTGTTAAAAAAAAAAAATTAATATTGTGTCTCTGAGATGGATATCATCACACACTCCTAAGTGACGACCCAAAAACTCATGTTCTTTAAGATTCTTTTGGGAAATTTTTTTATCTTTTTTATTAACACATCGGCAGGGGACCCCAAAAAGAAGAAACTTTTTTTCATCACTCACTCCACTTCTGTCTTTCCCGGTGCTTATAATTAACTGGTCAGAGAACCAACAAGTTTAAAAATTTGAAAAACTTTCAACACTTGGTATTTTTTTTGTGAAAGTGTTGCCAACCAGTGACTTTCCCCAGTCCGACTGGAAAAGGGAATTTGGGGGTCAGGGGTAGTTTGAGGGAAATTTAGTCCATCACCCGGGGTCCAGTAATCAGTCCATCAGCCTGGAGTCCATGAATAGTCCTCGCCCGGGAGTCCTGTAATCATCCATCAGCCTGGGGGCCATGTAATCTCCATCAGCCTGAGTCCAGTAATCATCCATCAGTCTTGAAAAATACAGCACATCCAAAAGGGGCTTAAAAGGCAAAAAGGGGGAGGGCGCAGTCAGGAAGTGTCCCCCTTGGGCAAATCAGCGAAGTAGGTCATGCCTAAAGGTTTGGGACTGCATTTACATTGACTCCGGGGGAATATTACCTCCAAATTTAAATTTTAAACCAGGAAAATCACTGGCTGTGAACTGTTTCCAAATAATGATAACCCCAAGTGGGGTTTTTTTAAAATTATTTTTTATCACGGGGTTTGAAAAATCAATTTGCACATAACTGCCCAAAAGCTCACATACTAAGGGGGTTTCGCATGCACACCTAAAAGTCACCCCTTTCCATACACGAAAGCAATTAAAAGAATCTTAATCTTTTAAAGTACAAACTTACTCTGCATAAAGCGAATTTGGGAATTTCCCTTAAAAAATGCCCAACTTGGGCCAAACTTCTTGCTTTTGGGTGGCAGCTCCCAACACCCACTCATCTGGGATTTTTTTAAAAACACCCTCAGTTTTCTGCCAGAGATCTTCAACACTCCTGCAAAGCCAGTTAAACTCTACAATGTTTTCAACCTTGACGACCTTTGAAAAATTTAAACCCGTTGAGAAAAAATACGATAATGTTTTCACAAAGTCCACTTTCTTTTTTACATTTTTCCCCGAGAGCTGTGTTTCCATACAGTGTTTAGTACCGATGACGGTGTTTCTAGATTGGCTGACCCAACAACATGGTCAATGTTTAAATAGAAAAGGTATCAGCTTGGATGGCAACAAAAAACGAAACTTAACACTTAATATTGGGAAGAACTAACTAAACAGGTGCTCCTCAACTTACGATTTTGAATTTACAAAGGGAGCAGCAAATATTTTTGGGGGATGAAACAGATAATTACCCACAGGGGACAAGCCGTAACTTGTATTCATTTATTTACTTTTCAATATGGTATTTAGTTCAGTAATTTTTCATTAGTTACTATTTGTACAGTAGTTATTTATTTATTTTTTTTTACACACGGCCGATTCCCACCCGGCAGGGGGGCCCAAAAAAAAAACTTTCACCATCATTCACTTCACTGGGCTTGCCCGAAGGGTCTTTTCACTACGTTTTAAAAATGCAACATTTAAAAACCCCTCCCTTTTGAAGGAGGGGTGTTATTTATTTACTTACTATATATTCATATTCAACTTGCGATATTTTAAACCTACAATGGGTTCGTCGGAACGTGACCCCATCATGAGTCGAGGAGCACCTCTGCAGGAATTCCTCACTAATACGGCAGGTTAGGTTCTAGACCACCGCTGTAAAGTGACGTTAGCTAAGCAAGTTATATGACAAAAGGGACAATATTAACAGAAGTTTGTAAGTGAAGTGATCAAGGAACAACAGAGAGAAGAAATTTGGTACTGAGATAAAACATACCACTATGTTAGTTTATTTTTATGAGCACAAGAATTAATAAGTCTTACACAATAATTCAGTTAGTGTTAGGTTTTTATTGCCAGTAAATAATATACAGTGGACCCCCGCATAACGATTACCTCCGAATGCGACCAATTATGTAAGTGTATTTATGTAAGTGCGTTTGTACGTGTATGTTTGGGGGTCTGAAATGGACTAATCTACTTCACAATATTCCTTATGGGAACAAATTCGGTCAGTACTGGCACCTGAACATACTTCTGGAGTGAAAAAATATCGTTAACCGGGGGTCCACTGTATTGGATGATACCAACAAATTTTAAGGTTACAAATTACTATATTTAATGTGTGTAGTGAATTAATATACTAAAATTACTGTTATTCATTACTACTGTTTTGTGAAATTGCAAATAAAAAGTATCTATAGCATATGTATTGATAAATGAGACACATGCAACATTTAGGTATCTTTATTCTGGTAATGTTTTGCCAGCCAGTGACTTCTTCAGTCCAATGCAGAGGAAAATGGAAGACGAGAAGGAGTTTGAGGTAATCAGTCCCTCAGCCTGGAGTCGAGGTAATCAGTCCCTCAGCCTGAAATTGATGTGTTCGGTCAGGCTGATAGACTGATTACCTCAAACTCCTCATGTCCCACCTTTTTCTGCATTGGACCGTAGAAGCCACTGGCTGGAAATTTTTTTCTAGAATAGAGATACGCCAATGTTACACAAGCGTCTCTTTTATCAACTTCTGGGGTTTTTAAGCCATTTATTCACAGTGCAGTGGAACCTCGGTACTCGAACAGCTCCCTACTCGAACAAAGCTCAGCACTCGACCAAACAAACACAACTTGCCAGAACTTCACTGAAAACTATTTCATGTTGCTTCACATTTATTTTTATATATTTGTATAAATAAGTCACCATAGGGCCTACGAATATTAGTGATAACAGCCAACCAAAAAGAAAATTGGTGGGGAAAAATTTGTTCGATGCTCGAACAGATCAGCACTCAAACAGCCTTCTGGAATGAATTAAGTTCGAGTACAGTGGACCCCCGGTTAACGATATTTTTTCACTCCAGAAGTATGTTCAGGTGCCAGTACTGACCGAATTTGTTCCCATAAGGAATATTGTGACGTAGATTAGTCCATTTCAGACCCCCAAACATACACGTACAAACGCATTTACATAAATACACTTACATAAATACACTTACATAATTGGTCGCATTGGGAGGTGATCGTTAAGCGGGGGTCCACTGTATATCTACTGTTAATACATCGTTTGTAAAATAAATGAGAAAATGAGAAAAGGGTGAAACTCACAGCTGACCATCTTTGTGAAGTGTGTGTAGGAGGCGTGGCCGACCTAAGATGTTCGGTGAAAGGTCTAGGTGATGGTAGCAGTTGTAAAAAGGGAGAGAGACATTGACAGGCTGGGGCTTATACTTGGGCAGTGTTGGCTTTACTCTCTGAGATGTTGCCACTCCAAACACTGGGACTGATGGCCTGGAAGATAGCGGAGGAGAACTATATGGGTTCTCTGTGTTTTGGATGTCGCATGGTTGCCACTCAGAATGCTTCACCATGGTGGTCTCTGACGCATGCAAGGAATCAGGAATTTCAATTTTCACATTAAATTCTTTGCTATTGCTCTTAACAGTTGGATACCAACAACCATTAGCCCCAAATACACCTATGTCTGGCTTATCTGGTTCTGAATTATTCTCCTGGCTTTCCTCCGTAACTGGTACAGGTGGTGATACATCACTGCTCATATGATCTGGCAATATGTTTGTGACAATGACGGGGGGTGTACTATCTCTTGAAGAGTCTTCGAAGTTTTCTACTTGTGACAGAAGTAGGCACGGCGGAGAGGCATATGTAGGCTCGGGACTCAATGCTTGTCCTGAATAATCGTACCTGTATGATTCGTCATTTCTGTTCTCGTCATCAGATGGACTCGACAAGGTCATGGGCATCACAGGGCACACTGTGTACATGACACATGGGTATGGAGACCCATACCCGACATATGTATCACAATATATTGGAGAGCTGGAGTTTATAGGCACTGGGCTGTTAGGCTGGGCATTATAGATTGCATTCTCCCCATTGGGCATCATGGAATCATTTGGAGAGTACACAATAGGCACTACTGGGGTTAGAGGGCTAAGTGGACTAGGAGGGGATGATAGAGGGTACTGATGAGTCGGGAACATGCATCCAAACACTGACTGGGTTGAAAGTGAAACTCTGTGACCTCAAGGACATCCCGCGTAATTTGCGCATCGCGGTCGCTTCTGCATAGACAAAAAATAAAAGATTAATGCATAAATTGTTTGGTTGATATGTACAGTGTCCTGACTAGCCAGGCTGTGGTTTTTATGATGGTTACATGCGGCCAGCAGTAACAGCCTGGTTGATCAGTCCTTGATCCACCACGAGGCCTGGTCGTGGATGCATTGCCCCCCGAACACCCTCCTGGTATATATAAACAAATAATGATTATTGCTACTGTAGTCTTAAGCCAGAAATTGGATCTGTCTTATAGTTCCCTGAATTAAGACAATACTTTCCACATCCCCCCAACAGGCGCTGCATAATCCTATGGGTTTAGCTCTCCCCCTTGATTATAATAATAATAATAATAACTATGTATCATCCATCTATGTTTATACAGAGATGGATGATACATAGTTATTATTATTATTATTATCATATAGAAATATAGGGTGTCGACAAAAACACTCCCTGATTTCAAACCGGTATAACATGTAACTTTATTGTAATAATCTTTCACAGTTAGTAGCTTCAGATGCTGGATTTCATTTAGTCTCATGTGGTATAGGGTAGCATACACACAGATGATCAAACTAAATGTAAATTATGTGATCAGGCATATGGTCGCTCTCTTGAACACTATGTGCTTAATTGTCCACTTATTGAGGAATACAGAGACAGACAGTATAATAACCTATGTGACATGTCAAGATATCTTATTAATGAAAATAAGATACCAGATATACTAAGCAAATTTCCTAAATTTGCTTGTAACAGATAAGTGAACTATAGATATGTAGATATAAATCCATATGTATTCCTGTTAACCCTTTGGGGCCTAGTTCCTAGGCCTTTTGTGTATCCATATGACTCTCGCGCTACCGTCCAATAGGATTGGATATGGGTGCACAATAAACCTAGCCACTTCGGTGCAAAATCTAAAAAACTAAATCTTCAGTGATCGAAATTTTCAGCTCGTCCAGGGTTGCAGGTAGTCGTGGTACGTGAGCTGTGGTCTTCACGTACCCCCAAAGAAAGAAGTCACAAACAGTTAGGTCTGGTGACCTCTGTAAATGGCCTGCCAAGGTATTTAGGCTTAATGTTCTTGACCAAGCACAGATTCAATTCCCTAGATTCAAGAGCCCCTTACCAGCGTCAAGGAACCTCCCTTGGGGGAGGAGTACAGTATACGTAATATAATATTAGAGCCAAGTCAATTTATTAGGTACAGTCCCTCAGGGAAAGTTTCCTTGATGTTGGTGAGGCTCTTGATTTAAGGGAGTTTGGATCGTTGCTCCAGTTCCCCGAATTTAAAAGCCTGGAATGCCTTCCACATCCCCCCCCAGCGCTGAATAATCCTACGGGTTTTAGCGCTTTCCCCTTGATTATAATAATAATTAGGTACAGGTACACAAAAATAGTTACATAAATTATGATACATAGTAACATATGTGCAGAACAACCACTGTGAAGAAAATAGCGAAATCACAGGCGCTTTCGTGATTTCTCACATTATCAAGGAACAGGTCCTTGATAATTTGAGAAATCACAAAGTGCTTGGAATTTCACTATTTTTTTCACAGTGGTTGTTTTGCATATTGTGATATCACCTGTTTACTGTGATCTTGTTGCATAGCAACATATATTTGTAAATTATCCACATGAATAACCACAAAAAAGTTATAGTGACTTCTTGCCATGGGGGTCCTTGTGACTTATTATTATGGGGGTCCTTGTGACTTATTATTATGGGGGTCCTTGTGACTTATTTCCATGGGGGTCCTTGTGACTTATTATTATGGGGTCCTTGTGATTTATCATGGGGGTCCTTGTGACTTATTACCCTGGGGGTCCTTGTGACTTATTACCCTGAGGGTCCTTGTGACTTATTATTATGGGGGTCCTTGTGACTTATTATTATGGGGTCCCTTGTGACTAGTTAGTTAAGGGGTCCCTTGAGAACATATTTATAATGGGGTCCTTGTGACTTATTATTATGGGGGTCCTTGTGACTTATTTCCATGGGGGTCCTTGTGACTTATTATTATGGGGTCCTTGTGATTTATCATGGGGGTCCTTGTGACTTATTACCCTGGGGGTCCTTGTGACTTATTATTATGGGGGTCCTTGTGGCTTATTTCCATGGGAGACCTTGTGACTTATTACCCTGGGGGTCCTTGTGACTTATTATTATGGGGTCCTTGTGGCTTATTTCCATGGGAGACCTTGTGACTTATTACCCTGGGGGTCCTTGTGACTTATTATTATGAGGTCCTTGTGATTTATCATGGGGGTCCTTGTGACTTATTACCCTTGGGTCCTTGTGACTTATTATTATGGGGGTCCTTGTGATTTATCATGAGGGTCCTTGTGACTTATTACCCTGGGGGTTCTTGTGACTTCTTATGGGGGTCTGTGTGATTTATCATTTGGGTCCTTGTGACTTATTACCCTGAGGGTCCTTGTGGCTTATTACCATGGGGGTCCTTGTGACTTATTACCATGGGGGTCCTTGTGACTTATTACCCTGGGGGTCCTTGTGACTTATTACCCTGAGGGTCCTTGTGGCTTATTACCATGGGGGTCCTTGTGACTTATTACCATGGGGGTCCTTGTGACTTATTACCATGGGGGTCCTTGTGACTTATTACCCTGGGGGTCCTTGTGACTTATTACCATGGGGGTCCTTGTGACTTATTACCATGGGGGTCCTTGTGACTTATTACCATGGGGGTCCTTGTGACTTATTATCCTGGAGTTTACCTGGAGAGAGTTCCGGGGGTCAACGCCCCGGAGCCCGGTCTGTGACCAGGCCTCTGGGAGTCCTTGTGACTCATTTCCATTATGGGACCCATGGACTTATTAACATGGGGGTCCTTGAGGTGACAAGACATATATAAACTTACTATACAAGGCATTAAAACCTTTACATTCAAACAACCTTAACCAGGCCATTTTAGCCACACATTTCTACACAAGTCATCCATGTTGACCTAGTCTGTGCTGTGCACAGGGCCGGGAGCTGCAACTCGACCCCTGCAACCACAAATAGGTGAGTACAAGAAGAGAAACATTCATACTGTGAGATCCACCACTGGGATCCTCACACTCCTCGGATCAAACTCTCACATAATAGCTGCAGTGACAAGTGCAGGAGCAGTGTTATGACACTTGTGGGTTTAGACGCTTGGCTATGATTGTAGTAGTAGTATGATTGTAATAGTAGCAGTAATAGTAGTGGTAAGAATAGTAACAATAGTAGTGGTAAGAATAGTAGTAACAATAGTAGTAGCAGCAGTAATAGTAGTGGTAAGAATAGTAACAATAGTAGTAATAGTGGTAAGAATAGTAGTAACAATAGTAGTAGCAGCAGTAATAGTAGTGGTAAGAATAGTAACAATAGTAGTAATAGTGGTAAGAATAGTAGTAACAATAGTAGTAGCAGCAGTAATAGTAGTGGTAAGAATAGTAACAATTGTGGAAAATTTTATAGGGTGCTTATCTGTATGTACCTCAACATTATATACATACAAGTAATCTCATTGGGAGACAACCATATTGTTTACCGTAGTCACCCCGTGTAGACATGTGAGAAAACTTAACCACCTCTGGTCACTACAGGCGGCCCCTCGACCCTCACAATCTTTCAATTCAAAGTTTTATTCTCTATAAGGATTACAATGCTGAGTTTACAGAAATTTGGTTATTGTTTGGTTTAACATGTAGTAAAATTGAGATTACAGAGTGTACCACTAGAACGCTTAGCATGGCTAGGCATTTCGGGCATACTTAGTTTTATTCTTAAATGTAAAATATTACAAATTATGAGGTAAGTTGGTATTATGGCTAAGTGACTAAATACTATTTTGTGAGTTTAGCAGTGTGAATGCTTTTGTTTTGGCACAGTATATAGTTTCAGTATTGGAGTATCACAGGATTCATTATATTAAGACTGAGATTAATATTTCTGTTTATGGTCAAATGAGTGTGCGAGTGTAAGTGTGAACCACCAGGTGGTATTCGTGAAGTTAGTTGACGGGGTGTATCCGAGACCAGTATAAATTGGGAAGCACCCTCAAGCACGGCGCTACTAATTAATTGTGGACTGTATAGATTATATTAGTTTAGCTGAATGAAGGGGGGGGGGGGTAGGATACACCTGGACACATCCATCAAGGAAAAACATTTGTACATAATCCCACCACTTCCGAGATGTTCTCTGGTGGTCACTTGATGTAGCTGGATCACTCATAACCTATCCTGCTACACCGACACGGTTCTTATTCCAGCAGGACAAGGTATCCGTCGGTTTGTCCCGGTTTAGAAGTCGTGATTCCATAAAGCATAATCACTAAATCCCATCCCTGGCAACACACCCCCCCACTCTTCAAAGATCTAAACTTACTCCCAGTTCAGTACATCCACACTTACTACTGTGCAATCTATATCTACAGGGCCTTAAACTCTAATATTAACCTTGACCTAAAACGCTTTCTGATAGTTGTGACAGAACCCACAGGCATAACACCAGACACAAACATCTCTACGACATTCCCCATGTCCGACTAAACCTTTACAAAAATTCAATGTATGTCAAAGGCCCTAAAATCTGGAATACCCTACATGAGAACTCTAGAACTGCAGACACATTCATCACCTTCAAAACTACCATTAGAAAACATCTTATCTCCCTGATACACCCCGTTTACCTGGAGAGAGTTTACCTGGAGAGAGTTCCGGGGGTCAACGCCCCCGCGGCCCGGTCTGAGACCAGGCCTCCTCAACTAACTTCACGAATACCACCTGGTGGTTCACACTTACACTCACTCACTCATTTGACCATAAACAGAAACATTAATCTCAGTCTTAAAATAATGAATCCTGTGATACTCCAATACTGAAACTATGTACTGTGCCAAAACAAAAGCATTCACACTGCTAAACTCACAAACT